CCCCCCCCCCCCGCTCTCTCTTTAAAATAAATAAATGAATCTTTAAAACAAAAATGTTTCCAGGAACTACATCTATCATTTCAGACCATTGAAAAGCAACTACGGTTCCCAGCTCACACATGGAAAAAAACAAACCTGGGGAGATAGAGGTGATTTACTCAGCACCCCCACGAGAACTCTGGCTTCCTATTAACCCAGTCTACCTTCTCAGGTTATCAAGAACCTCTTGAGGTCCTAAAACAGACAAGGAAGAGACCATCAAATCTAGCCCCCACTTTTCAGACAGATCATTATAAAATTAAGCCTAAAAGACTATTTTCTTTAGAGCAGATACTCTAAAACTTCTCCCACTGGCCTAAATCAATGTCTTTCTCATTTTAATTTTCATCCATCTCCTCTCAGCCTATCTTCCATAGTTATGAAACAACCACTTGGCATATTTATTCAGGCTTTTCAGGAACCTGAAGGAACATATTACCCCTTTGTCATCTCTTCTATTGAAAAAATGATGAGCTATCATGCCATAAAAAGACATGGAGGAAATTTAAATGCATATCACTAAGTAAAAGAAGCCAATCTGAAATGGCTACATACTGTACAATTCCAACTATATGACATTCTGGAAAAGTCGAAACTAGGAAGAGGGTAGAAAGATCAATGGTTGCCAGGGATTAAGAGGGGAAGGAGGGATGAATAGGTGGAACACAGGATTTTTAGGGCAGTGAAGCTACTCTGTATGATACTGTGATGGAGGACAATGTCATTGTACATTTATCCACACCCACAGAATGTACCACACCAAGAGTGACCCCTCATGTAAATTATGTCTTTGGGTGATAATGACGTGTCAGTGTAGGTTCCACACTGGAGGGGGATATTGGTAATGAGGGAGGCTATCCATGCATGAGGGCAGGGATATATTGGAAATCTCTGTACTTTCCTCTCAATTTTGCTATGAATCTAAAACTGCTCTAAAAAGGTAAAACCTATTAAAAAAATAAACCCTAGTTTTTGGGTTTTTTTTAGATTTTATTTATTTATTTGAGAGACAGAAAGAGACAGAGAGAGCACAAGAGGGGGGAGGGTCAGAGGGAGAAGCAGACTCCCCACTGAGCAGGGAGCCTGATGCGGAACTCAATCCCAGGACTCCAGGATCATGACCTGAGCCACCCAGGTGCCCAAAATAAACCTAGTTTTAAAAAATTTTTCCTCTCCCCACTCAGCGGGAAGCCTGCTTCTCCCTCTCCCATTCCCCCTGCTTGTGTTCCCTCTCTTGCTATATCTCTCTGCCAAATAAATAAATAAAATCTTTAAAAAAAAATTTAAAAATTAAAAACAAAGGTAAAAATATTTCCTCACAGGATTTCTTTTACATCTCTGGTAAATTTTTACTAAAAGCCTACTGTGTGTCAGACTACATATTAAGTGCTAAGGAAACAATGGGGAGCACAACAGACCTTACCCTTACAGAGCTTAGTCTAGCAAGCAAAGCTGGCATTAAATAAAAATTCATGGGGTGCCTGGGTGGCTCAGTCGGTTAAGCATCCGACTCTTGATTTTGGCTGAGGTCATGATCTCAGGGTTGTGAGATCGAGCCCTGCATTGGGCTCCACACTGGGTGCGGAGCCTGCTTAAGATTCTCTCCCCAACCCCCTCTTAAAAAAAAAAAAAAGAAATTCACAATTCAAATGTAAAAGTGGCTCTTTCTGTCTCTGTTTATCACAGGAAGACAAGATGATGCCAGGTCCATACATCAGCAATAGAGGATCATGGGGAACTGCTTCAGTTTCCTAATCAAGAGGAATAAGGAGATGTGCAGCAGCAGGCCCATAACGCGAAGGCCCACACCTCTGTCACAAGGGGCTGATTCACCACCAGGCTGTGGACATGGAGCCAGCAACTGATGGCAAAGGTGTCCTAATGGTCATGAAGTAAAGAACCAGCCAGCGAAAGACAGCCACTTCCTACATGTGGACCACCGTCGACACTAATGTCCAGGCAGCATGGTGCACACGATCCACAAGCACAAGCACCACACTGATCTGTGCATGGCGGCCACCCCCAGAGCTAGTGCCATCCTGGACAGCCAGAGAGAAGTTGTGACGGTAAAGAAGAAGCTGACCCAACCTCCAAGAGCTTCTGAGCACAAGCCCCAAAGCAATAAAGATGTTGCCAGACTTTTCAATCAATCAAACAATCAAGGGCGCCTGGGTGGCTCAGTCGTTAAGCATCTGCCTTCGGCTCAGGTCATGATCTCAGGGTCCTGGGATCGAGCCCCGCATCGGGCTCCCTGCTCAGC